TGGCCTTATCAAAGGCCAAGCCAGCCACACGCCCAGTTTCTATAGCCCCTGCCTTCTCTGTATCCAAGGAGATAAAATACACAAGATGGAAACAATGACATCACTCTGCAAGGACAAGGATGACAAGGATAAGGACAGGACAGGCACTCAAGAAGCCTTGGGAAGACAGAAGTGGCTGTCTGTCTCTCTCATCCCACAGATACCCTGATTCACCCCCAGAGCTCCTCCAGCTGCATGTCTGTAGGTTATTTTTCATTTAAAACAAAACATCCTCATGTTTGAATGACTGTATCTTCTGTGTTTAGGAAGAACCAATCTATCCATTGCAAACCAAAAGTTTTTGCTGACATTCTTGAGGGGTGACGTTAATATGTGCCTCACTGCAAACAGGGTATGTGGCCTTCAGGGAGCTGGACAAGCTTTGTTGGAGACAGTGCTGATGTTGACCTCCCTCGAAGCTGGCCTCTCTTAGCTCATTCCCTGCATGAGCTCACTCAGCTCAGAGACCTAGGCCCCATTGATCTCACTGTCCTACAAATACAGGGAGGGATAAAAAAAGATGACAAACCTTTTCCCACAGAGCCTAGGTCTGACAAGACATGGCACAGTCTGGGGGATAGAGTTTTATTGTTTAACTGACCAAGGGGCAATACAGACACACACACACCAGTGCATCGGTCCTAAGCTTAATTCCTGGCCCAGGGTCACCACAGGGCATGGCTGAGTCTGAAAGTTATGCTGGTCTCTGGTCACTGTCATAAGCATTAAAATTACCTAAGTCACCACATAACTTGTTCTCTTCTGCTGTGATCACTTTTCTCAAGAAACATTAAACAGAAGAGAGAGGCAGACATGCTATTTTAATCACCCACTGCGGTGAGGAAAAGATGGGAAACTGACACTGAGTGATCGCCCTTAGGATCTGGGTGAGAAGTGCAAGTGAAATAATTGAGTAAATATACTAAGAGGGCTCTGTCATTTCCTTCCCCTAATGTTGCTATGGTCACTCCCAAAACAAAGCTGGCTCAGCTGCTGAGCCATCATAACCGACAGACTGCTACACCTTTCGATGAAATGTGATTTTGTCATCTCTTTTGCCTCAGTTTAAAGTAATTTCAGAAGATAAAGATAATAATAATAATGAAATAATAATAAGGCTGTAACTCTTTCACGGGCGAAGGTCAGCTTAGACAATGAAGTCAGTCTTAGGATTCAGGACTTCAGGGAATGCAAAAGAGGTTATAGAATGTCTTTTTATTTTCCAAAGATGCCTAAAAGTATCTTAAACTTACATTCCAAGTAAGGGAAAATACTTACAGAGGATGACACAACACTTCACCAAGTATCAGCCTCCAAAAGGATTACAGCAATAAACAAGTAGTCTACATCAAATGGGGTAAAAAGAATGTGTAAGCAGTGATCTTAAAATATGTGGCTAGTCATCTAGTTCTTGAGACAAACAGGACAATAACTTCTTTTGGAAGACCTTTTGAAAAGACCTGGTTATTTAACTGCACCAACAAAATGTGAAGAGGAAAGGAAGGCAGATAAGTGCGAGAAATTTTAGTTAAGCTATTGAAGGTAGTTTCCCACCTTCGACATCAAACTGTCTAAGAAAGGCAGAAACTTATTTGAATAACTGCAGTCCCATGTCTTCAAAGAGTTTAAAGCTTTTGTTTGTTTTTTTTTTTTCTATTCACATGTATTTCTGCATTTTTGAATGGCTGTGTGAAAAAAGTGAGATGTCAGAGGACCTTGCATCAGGACTTAAATGAACCACTTGGACTCCCTATGTCCTGTTTTCTTTGGTAAGTGAATTAATAAGTGTTCTGTACAAGACTGTTGCCAAGGAAAGCAAATAACACTGTTTTCACTGGCGAGCAAGTTAAAAAAACCTGAACAGCTCAGCGCTGCCTTCGAAGACTCAGCTCTACTCATAATTTCAACCAATCCTGTTAGAAAAGTGAGATCAGCATCTTTGTGCTAAAATTCATAGCAGTTTGCCATTTGGTATGTACATGCACAACATCTGCTCCACTCTGCTGCTGCTGATTTGAAGCAAGCCTGGCTGAAATCCCTGGTGATGCTGCGAAGACACAGACCCAGAGTGACTCAGCCAGTGCTTACCACAGCTCTGGCAGCAGTTGGTGTGCTCCACTGACTTCATGCTCCAAGCAGACAGATCCCACCACAAACTTTACTTGCTGCAGTCAGCTACTGAAAAAGTAAGCAGATCTGTATAAAAAAAAAAATAAATAAAAACCAAACAAAACCACCAACACAACTTTAAAACTTCATGGTGGTCATGGCACCTTTCTTTGACACAGTGGACTAGAATAATCAGGCCCTGTGAAGCAGCAAGAGTAAATGGGAACTTGTGGTTTGGTGATATCATGTCTTCCCTCTCACAGCTGAATTCCTTTGAGAATGCAGCAGGCAAAACCTTTTAAAGGAAAGCTCCATGCTCTGAACAATAGCAAGCCCCACTTAGGCAACTGCAAATGACTTCCTTGGCTTCATTTTAGGAAGGGGAATAAGAAAGGCAAGATTTCTGTGAGATCTTGAATGTTCCTTTTACAGCAGGAAATAACTCTTCTGTTAGCCATCACAAGGGTCAAAGCTTAATTTTCAGGCAACAGTTTAATCCTCGTATTGGATTAAGACAATGGTGACTGCTCAGAGATAAGGTTTGTAACAGGAATCTCTCCACAGTCAGTTTCTCACCAAATTCTCCTGCTGAAGTCAGTTACAGGTTGGTGTTGTGCCACACTTACAAACTGGCAGCATAGGGTTATTTGTATACCTAACTCCACCTGTGGCCAGACCTACAACCAGCATTAGGACTAAGGTTAGGATTTAGGAGGGAATGTGCTCCACCAGCAGGGTTATTCCTGAAACCTGCAAGTCTGACCTTCATAATGGCCTTTTCTTGGATTCTTAGAATGCAGGGCATGACTTGGAAGTCAAAGACTAGAGTTAAGGTTAGTCTCTCTCAACCGTGTTTCTTGCTGATTGCAGCAGGCTCCCTGCAACACCCCAGGGCTGACTCACATACAGACCCTCTACCTGGAGGGCAGCTGACTAAAAGAAAGCTATCGATTAGGGTTAAAACTGTCATAGGAAATTAGTTTAAGAGGTGGCATTAGTTAATTAATATGGCCTATGTTTAGTACTTGAGCAGCAGTGCAGCAGTGAATATCTGTTCAGTTACCCAGGCTGGACTCGGGGGGGGGGGGGGGGGGGGGGGGGGAAGGGAGCAGCTAGGGACAGAGATGCTGCAGCAGTAGGTTTCTTGTTGCAGTTAACTAAGTTTAGTGAGCTGCACTAAACTCCTGTTTGGCATGTATAGTGCCCTGTGTCTAATTCTGGGGTATTTAGCTGAATTCTGTTTAATGGCTGGGTTAGGAACTTGGCTTCTAGGATCAGGTCTCCCACTGAATTAAACAACAGCCCTCTGCAGCCTTGCAGCAAAGCCTCAGTGCAGACTCTGGCCCACTCCTTCAGCAAGACATGACTTCCAAGTCTTAACGTTTGCAGCAGAACATCTCCAGAGCTAGGGTAGCACAAGACACAGGCCAGATCTCAGCTCGACAGTGTCACAGACAGGTGTCATTGCATGGCCCCAGCCCAAACTAAGTCCAAATGGCTCAGTCTCACACTGTGCCTTGGCTGAGTTATGAAATACCTGGAGAACACCACACTGCATTCTTAAGCCAAGCAACACACAGCCCAACATGAAACAGAATAGGAACAGATCCTAGGCCAAGGTCTGGATGGAGTATTGCTGCAAATGTGCTACTTTTGGTTCAGGTCTTTTCCAACCCAAATAGACCTATTAATGTTTAATTAATTATTATAGAATCACAGAATAGTTAGGGTTGGAAAGGACTTTAAGATCATCAAGTTCCAACCCCCCTGCCATGGGCAGGGACACCTCACACTAAACCATGTCACCCAAGGCTCTGTCCAACCTGGCCTTCATGCCAGGGATGGAGCATTCACAACTTCCCTGGGCAACCCATGCCAGTGCCTCACCACCCTTAAAGAACTTCTTCCTTATATCCAATCTAAGCTTCCCCTGTTCAAGTTTTAACCTGTTACCCTTTGTCCTATCACTACAGTTCCTAATGAAGAGTTTTATCTCTACTGATTTTGCTAGAAAGATTCACATGGGATGTGTGCTAGGACCAAAATCCATGCCACTGCCCAAGTAAAAATCCAGAGAAATGCCACTGATTTTAGCACAGTATTGTAGCGTATTATATTATTTAGGTGTAATATGTATTATTATATTTAGTGTAGTATTTTAGATTTTTGCAGTGTAATCCTCTAAATCTACCCCAGGCTAGATTTAGCCCTTGCACAGGTCGCTGCTACTATAATATTTACTTGACAGAGGCAGCAGACCAGTGAAACAAGGCTATCAACAGGTTACAAAATCAGCCTTCTAGACAGAGGGTGAAAGATCTGCCACACAAGTAAAATTGTAAAAGACTGATGTACTTCTCTCCCACTTTCTCCACAGCTAGACTGCTAGTAAGAACCTACTAAGAGGAAAAAAACCCAACAAACCAACAAAAAAAACACCTCAGCAACAGAAAAAAGTGTAAGAGTGAATCATTTTCCTCCTCTCTCAAGACCTTTCTTATCTATGAAAATCATCAGGCTTAGCAACAATAGCAATGACTTACTGAGCCACACCTCTACAGTGTGTTCTGTGCCTCACTGTAGGTGTGAGCATGCAGACAGCAGGAGACGGCACCTCGGATCCAAGCAGACAGCACCTCTTCACAGCAGCAGACTTCTCACAATGAGGCAGGGAGTCTGTCTCCCAAGGTTTCTGAGGGACATGTGATTTCCAGGACGTATGGGGCATGGTGCTATCCCCAAAGCTACCAAGGGAGCGACACATGCTCAGCTCCTTGGAGTATCAGGCCAGAAACCACGCTGAAGTTGGACAGGAGTATGCAGGAAGAGCACTCAGTTACTCCATTACTTACCTGTGGTTGAGAGGCCAGATTCATCTTATAAGGATGCGTCTTTCCCTCCTCATTTACAAGTGGTGACCAGACTTTTGACTCTGTCCTGCAACACACAAATTTTGAATAATCTGTTTTCATCAGGGAGCATCATTACTGTGAATAAAAGACCTAAAGTTCATCAATTTCCCAAACATTTCCCCAGTCTTTTATACAATACTATCCACATCAGAAGGAATCTAGACAGCCTCATTTTAGGCATGTAACTTAAATGACTTAGTTATGTTGTAAAAAGTCCTTGGAGAAAAACAGGATCTCAGCAGTGACTGTCCTGGCTTATCCTTTGGGACTTCACTGGCAACACATCAAGCATGGGCTCCAAACCAGGCAGTAAAGTTGGTGGTCACCCAACAGCAGAAGGTGGAGATATCCCTTAGATGCAGATCCTTTAATTAAATGGGACAATTCAGATTACTGTGTGCTTCAGCTTTTACGGATAGCTGGGAAGAGAAACTGACTATACAGCTAGCATTTTGCTCTTGAAGTTGGGCTGCCTTGGATAGCCTGGAAATATTTTTTTGTTTGGGTCTCTGAAATTTTCTTCTTATTTATACAGCAGTATCCATGCTAAACAAAAAGGCTTTTGGGAATTGTGGGGAGGAAAAAAACCAAAACAAACCAAACCCCTAAGAACCGAGATGACATCATGTGTCAGAGAAAGTCTACATAACCTTTACTGGTCTGTGGTCTGACCCAGTTACTCACAGCAGCCTGAAACACAAATGAAGGTCTGTTACCAAAACCAACCACTTTTACTATCATCATTTTGGAGTTTTGCTATGTCCCAGAGAACAACAAACAAGTGGTGAGGAAGAAGAAGAGTGCTTCGATCTGCTTGAGATACTTTGTGGGAAACGTATATTACCAACATTTGTCAGAAGTACAACAGTAGCTGGTATCTCAGGTGGACTAAACAGTGCCACTTTTCCCAAGGTTTTTAATAGTAGGGAACGAGTGGCTGCAGTACTGCTGAGTGAAAACTGTAGTTCAGTGCTAAACATTGCATAATGCAACAACCAGATGGCTGATAAACTTTTAGGATGAGCTTTGAAAACCACGTCCTGTTTTGACAAGAGCCCTTTGTGGAATCTGCAACTGCAGATAGACGTACTTCCCAGGTATTTGTGGGTGCAGGGCCAGCTCCAATTTAAGTACTTTGCAAAACAGGAATGCTTCCACTGAGAATTAGATTGATAACTGAAAAAAAAACAACAACCCAACCTTTAAACAGAAAAGGCTTATAAAAAAGATAAGGACAGAGAAATAGGTGACAGAGCTACCAGTGATAAATTCAGTCTGATCTATACCATTCTTCTGGAAGCCCTCCAATGTCAGGACATTTTTCAATCAGCCCAAACTTACCTGTGATGCACGTGTACATCTCAGACATTTGCTGCATAAACAGAATTTTAACACTTACATCCAGAGGGCAGCTCAGTGGGAGGTAGCAGGAGGCAGCATTCTCACTCTGGGAAGAGGAGAAATTTCATTGACCTGCTATTGCCTCTACTGCACTCTGGACTTTACACAGAAGAAACCTGAATTAAGTCTGCTGTGCTGCACCCCCTTTCACAAGAAAGTACAAAGACACAGGTCACACCAGATATCCTTTACAGGCATTCAGGTACAGCAAACCTTTGATTCCAGGCTACTGCATCGTGCAGGACCAGCCGCAGTGCTAATACCTGAGAACCTGCCACCCAAATCTTGACATCTGGCAAGTTATGGCACACACAGACTAACAATCATTATCATTATCCAATCTAATCATTATTTTGTCTCAACAGCTGCTGCTACTGAATGCACAACATACCCCAGGTGAGTATAAAACAACCAAACCCTCCTTGCTTCTAGCAACCCACACTTTAAGCAGTTTTATCCAGATTACAGCTATCAACCCTGACAGTCACAGCCATATCTAAGATAGAGGTTTTTTGCACTTGAAAATTATATTTGCAGAGCAGAGCAGCCTGTTGACCAATGCAAAGCCTTATTCCTTGAAAGTGTTTTGAACTCCTGTGTGACCAAGTTTCATCTCCTCTGGAAAAGCAAGGAACACATCAAAGTATATGGAAATCAAACACCCTGCCAGCCAGGCTGCAAGCAAGTGGACATTGGCTGCTTCATCAAGAGATGAAAGAGCAGGTCAGAGAGCATTAAACACTTCGGCTGATTTCTGGCATGAGGCATCCATGTGCCTGTTCCCACTAGCAGTGATCTAAGTAATTCTGAGGTAGCATTATCTTTTTTACAGCAGCTTAATATTATCAGATGTCAAAAGCACCAAAAGGCCTCAATCAGACTGGAAATTTAAGCTCAGAGCAGGCCAATGTATGAATGCAGAGCGGAGACTTCTCAGGCACTTGCTTTCATCCCACTGCCCCCCACTCAGTGCATTTGAGGTGGCACAGTACACTGGTCTACATCATAGCAGAGACAGCTATGGCCAGCTACTGCAGCCAGTGGGGTTTGATTGGATTTTTTTGTGTTTTTCTGTTTGTTTTTTTTTTACCAGATTTTTCTCATTTATTAGCAAAGCAAAAGCTCAAGTTTGTTTCCCAGCTTGCTGCCATTCTGATCTGTCACTGGATATAAATGGAAGCAGCAAGGTCACTCCAGGCTTTACTTTCAATCCAGTTTAAAAGTTATCCAAACAGAAAGGTTAAATAGCCCCCATGGTTGTCCCTCTAAGGCTGGAAGGATAAAGCTTCCCTTTGTCTTCACAACAGCTGCAGCAAAGCCCTTCAGCCACTCTCAGCAGCCCATTTATAGCCCCAGTGAAGCCACCAAGAGGAGACAGTTTTGCTTCCCTGCCTTTATCTAGCTCTGAAAAGGTGCATGCCCCATCCCACCACACTGCCAGTGGAGCCCATGGTCTGCAGATCATCAGTAGAATCACTATGGTTCCAGCTGTCAGCAAGGGTTTTCTGCATCCGTTCCTGGTGTCAGTGCTTGCACTTTTACTGAAGCATGGAGGAGAAAGAAAAGCAGCACCTAAAACTTCACCTCCTGTCTCACTGCTAGCCAGGGACTTTCTGAAAGGCCGGGAAATGTGGGCATAAGACACAGACAGTAGGGTGGATTCATTAGGCTCATCATGTTTGTATCTTATCTACATTTTTTCATATCTTATTTATACGAAGCCGGGAACAGGCATCAGAGCACATAGCTCAAACCCAGCCTTCGCAATGGTGCCTTAGTTCACAGCAGGCTTCTACAGGTAGCTGTAGTAGCTTTCTGGAGGATTTTTTCCCTGATTTGGAAGAGAAGATACCCAGCCACAAAGCCACCTCCATGCTCACTGTACCTCTGCCACAGAGTGTGGCCACGCTAGCAGGGCTACCAGACCTGCCTCTCCACCAGTAGTGGGGCTGGATATCCAACAACATACTGTGGAAACCCACCCCATTTTGGTGAAAGCCCCATAGGATCTCACAGTCTCCTGCTTAAATTGATGAATATTTATGATACGGTTTCTAATGGATATTCTTTCAAATGAGACTCCATCAGAGAGCACCACTTAAACAGTGCAGAAAGAAAATACAAAAACATGGCACAAACAAGCCTGGAAACAAGTGCCAAGCAAATTAATCACAGGCACGTGGATATACGAACTTTAATCTGTTTGCAGTTTACATTTCCATGCTGTTTTCCTCACGACAGGAGAGAAAGCAACCAAGACAAAGCCAGGGAATGAGCTCTTTCATCCAGGCAGAAACCAAGACCAATGATTAGAAGGGAATTTCTCTGATTCTAGTTTGAATGGGGAGGTACTGGTAGGAAGGGAAGGAAAGAAACTGCATGCAAGTCAAGGCAGGAATCTGGAGAGGTATTCAGAAAAGACAACATTTTTCAAGAAGCTTGGCTTGAACATGGTGTAATATAAACATTACAAGAACCTAGATTTTGCTGTCAATGCTTTGGTGCAGAGCTGTGCCATAGCCTCAAGGGAAAATTCAGAGCTGGAAAACGAGGGCCTATTTCTGTGCACCAGGAACTGTGTAAGTTCCATGAAGAAAAAAATGTCAGATTTACATTCCCATTTCAAACACTGGGATGGACATGACTAAGATAGCAAAGTATAAGCACGTACAGATTGAAAACTTCCCTGTAAAACACGAAGTTTGCTAGCAGAAAAAATGAGGAAAGACCTAAAGAATTACTCTTTGAACCCTCCCCAGAGTTTTTAGACAGGCATTTTAATAACCTTTAGAAACTAGCTACGAGAGCTCTCAGGCTACCAGGAAGGTACCTTTTAATTAGCCTTTTAGCTGCAACAACTGCAAAGTACATGCCCTTGGACTTAAACATAAGCAGTCATTTTTAGCAGCCACCCATTAATGGAATTACTCTCTTTGGCAAACAGAACTGTACTCCAGTGGCATGCAGCCTATTGCCAATTCAAACAGCAATGCTAGTCACAACTTCCTAGAGACAAGAGGCCCCAAATTCACTCCTTCACACATGGCCCTCTGCTCCTTGCATTTCAGGTGCCTCTTCACACAACTACTAAAACCAAAAGGGCAACTCCAGCTACACAGAAGCAGCAACAGAAGTTTATCATAAGCAGTTTCGTTATAGAGCTATGACTGATAAAACACACACGAGTGCTCAAACTCACACTGTTCTTCCACTAGCCAGCTACAGAGTTAACTAACTACTTTTGCCTCACCTAAGAGGTTATAAACCACAATCAGTGGCAAGCTTCACTTGCCAAAATGACTTTGAGCTTGCCAATCCTTAGTAAAAGCTGCCAGTATGCACCCAGGAGGGCTGGAAGCATCACACCAGCCATGGAGAGGTTGTGAGCTGCCACAGAGGGCCAGGCCATCTGCATGCCCTAATATAGCTGCAAGCAGAGCATCGGCTTTTCCCAGGGCCAGAGGAATTATTAGTAAGATGACAGAGCTGGAAAACTTTTCTTGGCAGGGAAGCAAAAAGCAAACCTAAATGAGTCAATGGATTCCACCAACTTCCTAGAACACAAATTCGAGTCTATCGTGGCTTTGTGCAACTAGTACCCAAAGCCAAAACCTGCAAACATGT